TCAAGAGGGATACTCACCCACCCAGCAAGGATCAACCTATGCACGTCTGGCAACGATTGTCGTTCACCAAGTGTTTAAGAGTGTTTCATCAAGGAAACGTGTGGACTTCAGCAAAACAAGCAAGTATAGACATGCATCTGAGATTTGTGTTATTTATTGAGGAAAGTGATTAAACAATGAATATAAGTATATCATGCAGTTAATGTCAATGCCATGCAGTTATCTGCAAAAAATAATGGTATCGACTGTAGCTGCACATATAGAGGTAAAGAAAAATAAAATTCTAAACAACTAAGAATGTGATTAGTTGATTAGTGCCTCTGCTAGCCTGTGTTACATCTGGAATTTCTATCTAATTTCCGTCTAATTTAGATTGAAATTCCGGATATAACACAGGCTATGCCTGTGCTAAATACCACAAAACTATATACCCCCCAAACATCATTTTTAATAGCTACGCTCCAGTTGTTGACCATGTCAGTTAATTATGCGGTAACGATTTTCCGCATCCGCACGCGACGTGACCAAAAACACTAGCAGCGCTCCCTGTAAAGACGCTACGGAAGTGATTGGTCTCGATATTTATTTTTACAATGAATAAAATGAAGTGCAACGAAAGCAACGATGTTTTATAGCGAATTTGAATAAAAGTCAGAAATCGAATTTCAAGCCACAAGAAAAACAATCCCATAAAAAAAAAAGAAATTATATCTGTTAGCAATTCCTGAAAAATTGAAGTCAATTGTAAGAGATATTAAAAGCAAAATTTGCAAGATTTTCTGAGGACATGACCGCGGTGGGCATAATTTTGCCCTGAAGGCTGACTTTTTCCTATAGATTTTGTAGTTTTGAAATTTATATAAATATAAAAAGGCGTTTGCCCTAATATTTKCAGGTTTTGTTGAGAGTAATTTAAGCAATAAACAACACATTTTCGTGCGTTCCTGGTGAAATAAACCACTTGGGATGTTGGGAGAACACGAAAAAGGCGTAGAAAATCTCGAGCCGCAATTTTGCACTTTTGCAATTTTGGAATTTTGCGAAATATTCGTATTATTCATATTGACAAAGTTTTCTATTCATACCTGCATATATTGGAACCATTTCGTGCCTTCAAGATCAAATAGGAGCTACTGCTTTCTTAGGTTTTGTAGTTTAGTATTTAGTCCTAGCCCACGTGCATTTTAGTGCGCGTGTTTTTTGGCTACGCGCGCTGTAGAGCGCGCGCATATTGTTGTTTTCCGTTAGTCGCGTTGGTTTTTGTAGCAATGGCGCGTGCAAAACACTCAGTTTGCTGAAGAAGGCCGAAGTGCCGAAACGTTCTAATAAAGAGTAGGAATAATAGTTGCAAGTTGCGTGCCTTTTTCTTCAATTTATTCAATTTATATATATATATATATATTAAAGAGAATTGAACAAAAATTGAACATAAATTGAACAATTGAGCACTATGAAAAATTATTCTTCAATACAGTATTAAGTTTGTGTGTATATATATATATATATGAAATAAAAATAAATGTGTCTAATATAGAATTTAAATCACCAAACAAAAACCTTTTGTAAACATGGGTTAAAGAAAATTTTAATGTATTTCTGTCTGAAATTGATACAATTCAACTTGATGTAAACAAATTATGAACAAAATAATACCTTATCATTTCGAAACCAATGTTTTAGTTTTACTTGACATTTTTCGTGACAATTTTGTTCATTTTACCTATAATTTTATTTGTTTGTWTGTTTTTATTTATTTTGAAAAATTAGAGTCGGTCGGGCGACGGGAAACGGAGAAAATATATGAGGATGGCCTTACAAGGAAACAATTATCAGTTTGTTCAYGACGCGTGACACGGAAAAAAATTCAAAGTCAGAAACACGTTACAACAGGAGAACTAAATTTACCGACTCAATGCCAATGTTAGCTAAACAGGAATAAAACGCACGCCTACTGTGTGAATCTATTGGTAGCATGAGCAAAATGACCAGAATCGTACCTTTCTTCTTTAGCGTTCAAGCTTTATTTTTTCTCGCCTGTCGCGGAGACAGCACTCTTTCCGTCACTAACTATGGCTCGCTTCAGATNATCTGAGATTTGTGTTATTTATTGAGGAAAGTGATTATAAACAATGAATATAAGTATATCATGCAGTTAATGTCAATGCCATGCAGTTATCTGCAAAAACTAATGGTATCGACTGTAGCTGCACATATAGAGGTAAAGAAAAATAAAATTCTAAACAACTTAGAATGTGATTAGTTGATTAGTGCCTGTGCTAGCCTGTGTTACATCCGGAATTTCTATCTAATTTCCGTCTAATTTAGATTGAAATTCCGGATGTAACACAGGCTATGCCTGTGCCACAGGCTATGCCACAGGCTATGCCTGTGCTAAATACCACAAAACTATATACCCCCGAAACATCATTTTCAATAGCTACGCTTCAGTCGTTGACCATGTCAGTTAATTATGCGGTAACGATTTTCCGCATCCGCACGCGACGTGACCAAAAACACTAGCAGCGCTCCCGGTAAAGACGCTACGGAAGTGATAGCCTGTGTACATCCGTTTCTGGTGAGAAACGGATGTACACAGGCTACGGAAGTGATTGGTCTCGATATTTATTTTTATAATGAATAAAATGAAGTGCAGCGAAAGCAACGATGTTTTATAGCTAATTTGAATAAAAGTCAGAAATCGAATTTCACTGAGCCACAAGAAAAACAATCCCATAAATAAAAAGAAATAATATCTGTTAGCAATTCCTGAAAAATTGAAGTCAATTAGCCGATAACAAAACGAGCAGGGGCCTGGGACTGAAAATTTTAAAGTGCTACAATCTTACAGAAATCTGTTGTTGATAGATAAAGCACATATAAATTAGCTAAACTTTAAAGTTTGAGCAAGTTCAAGTCATNCCTAGTACTCTGTCTTCGGAGAAATATTAGGAAACACRGACACTGTTTTCATCTCAGAAGCTTACTACGAMAAAACTAGAAATAACGGATATCSAMAAGCAATAGCAAATGCAACAAGATCCGCCCGAAAAATGTACACTCAGTCGAGAATTTCATTTACTACAGTGYAAATCAAGCGAYATATTTTTTCGGTGTAAAAATCGAAACTGCTTTGYGTTTTTACGATTGATGAAGACAGGGAGATTTAYATTCCAYGATACATTGCAAAGCGATTCAAAATGGCGGACTGGGGGCTATGGCCGTGTATGATAYTGACTGGTGTTTWTATGATATTCATTTTTAGRGATGGCAACATGGTTAAGAATATCCCCAARCATCACCTTACTCACCTTGGCACCATTTGCCCTGTTATATCTGGTATGCTATTACTTTATCTCCAAAGAAATCACCAAAGACGAGCCAAAGTCAGTGACTAAAGACRAWGTGGCCTAYWCCATAGTRGACACTTCTGACAACGAAGACGACGACGATTCAAAACATGGAAACGCCGAGAGGTTTTCCCGGAACAACATCCTTTCTTTTAAAGACAAACTTAAAGCTRTCAAGAAAATGGCAGTTTTATTGGGAATTCCATTATTCATRATATMTATGGCAGAGTTCACGTTGTACGAGTCCATCATTACAACCATTGCTTATCCCAACTCACCTTTCCCACCACGTGATCATTACCAGTACTACTCGCTCGCGCTGATGATAGGAGAGGTCCTGGGGCGGTCCCATCGGAGCATYCTACAAATGGTCAAACCTGATTGGCTCTTCVCTCCAARAGCATTTGTTCTCGGGTTGCTAGCTGCCATTGAAAGTTTAATTCTRATTTTCTTGTTCTTCGAATCTTGGTATCGYTTTTTGCCGGGCGTTGTGACTGTGATTMYTCTGTGCTTCTTYGCTGGGTTCATCAAYGGTGTTGCCTTTATAAGTGGAATTGAGCTAGTCCGCGTTTCAACTGAAGATAACGAGCGTGAGTTTKCATTTTCCATATCGATTCTCCCAATGACTTCTGGGATACTTGTAGGGGCTTTAATTGGTTTGTATGTGGAGCCTAACCTGATGCAACACTGTATATTAACGTTAACTGATTCGGCTTATTGTTTCACTAGACATACTAAACTGTCGTTATAGTGTGCCTGCGAAACAAACCTTCATTATAATGGTGTGATAGTCACATAGACATGAAAGGAAACAATTAGAATATTCTAAGGTGTGTGGGTGTAATATTTATTTCACGTTTTTTTTATCCACTAATGCCTGGAGAATATAATCGTCCCAATCGCACAAAAGTGGATTTTGCAGTGTTGGCATATCATTATATTGTTATTATATTTTTTTGTCATACTAGCTACCGTACAGACACAAGTGCTTACAAAATTTTGATTCTGTTAAATCTAGTATTCCCAACGACTGTATGCATCTACCAAAATAGCGTACAAAATACTGGCGAAMTGCTGGGACGATCCGAATACGGATTGCCACGATGTGGGTGGAAATTGGTTTTGTTTGTTGGAATTACAGCGAAAACGCGAATCGCGACCTCAAAGTTTTGAAGTTCCTTAGGATTTTGAGTTTGTGACTTGGGCGAAGTTTCAACCGATCAAACAACTTTATTTAGTTTATTTGAATACAAAAATTATATGGCAGAGGAGATATTTTTATATAAACGYAGTATATATGAATTTAAGCACTTTTAAAAGTTTCTAAGTCCGTCAGAGAAAACCAACATCCACCAAGCGATTTTTCCAATCTCTTAGTCGCGATATAAGGGTTTTCGCTGTAAGTTTCTACTGACATTTTCGGCTGCGTTTGTACAAAGCCCAAGTGTTTCACTTTTAAGTATTGTGTGAATATCGCTTATCCAAGGCCTGATTTTATCTTTGACTAATAACTGGGCTTTTAACACCAAAAGCAATCTTATCTTACGACAGTTTAGAAGAGATTTGTAGTGTCTAGTCCACTCTTAAGGTGGCAGGTTCATGGATGAACGACTCTATTCTATGTTTATTTTGTACTCTTAACTCTCTAAAGCAGGTCCAAACAAGTTTTTTTTTAAGAACAAATGAATCAATAGTAAGCTTTTTTCAGCTCACATTGCTAGTAGATTTTAGTTGAAATCGTCTAAAAATTAAACAACCTTCTCWGCTTAGCTCTACATACTATTGACAGATATGAAACTGATTACTCTGAATTTCGGGATATTGACGATCTTTTAGCCTAAGCTTCAACGTCTACGAACACTTACAGGCTGTAGCAATGTATATGATCAGACGATACCACACCCTTACTTCAGCACAGCTAACGACAAGTTCGTTTTATCGTAATGTTAGGTACATAACCAAGGTCAATATTTGTTGATATTCACTTTTGTCCAAATAAAGATAATCATGTACACATGGTATTCAAATAAACTCGATGGGGGAACGAAGTAGCCCGAGGGTATATGACCCTTATTGCACGCCTTACTGAAGTTCAAATAGTCGCCGACGCTGCTCTAAAAACCGCACAATGCTATATTAAGAATACTACAAACGATTGCAATAAACCTAGCGCCCATTTTTACTGGTAGTTGCAAGGAACGTAGTTTTGGTGGTACGKTGTAGGTGGCTTAATTCAAATGAAACTAAAATAACAGTATCKCCGAATAATTCATTGTTACAATTAGGAATATATGAACCCCGCTGTGGACTTAAGTCCTTAAAAATCAAAACTTTAATCAAAAAACAGTCGATATGTTAACCGTTAGAAACACAATAAGCAAAGGGTTTAATTTGCTCTAACTTAATTATCGATAACATGAGTGGTTTGGCCCAATTCTTATGTTAATTGTCCGATAATAGGTCTTCTTGAATCGCAATGTGTTAATTGCGTATAAACACACAGCCCATCGGACTACGCTACAAAAGCTCAGTCAATTCTTTTGCGATTTGTTCTTTGTGATTTTCAAGCTGTAACGATTGACATACAAGTTCTCTAAGCCCAAGAAACAAAAGCCCACCATTCTCGAAATCTTTCTTAAGCTTTATAATCATTTTAATTGCGCTAAACAGGAAGACGGCGCTAAAAAGAAGGGTTGAATAGTTTGGGTCTGACTACAGTGTTTCCTAGCAGGGGCTCGTTCAATCACAGTGGGCGGTCAACTCCGAGAACATACTGCGATACAACACGAGAGTCACTCTACCGTTGATGAGTTTACAAAAGAAGTTGTTATTCTGATGAATAGCCTATATCTCAAGAACAGATCGATTGAATTCACTAATCAGCAGAAATGATTCAAATCTAAAACTCGTTGAACACAATAAAGTAAAAGGTCTAAAAAAAACACCAAAGGTTAAAAATTCATGGGTTTTGAAAGAGGTGAATGGTTAAGTCAAGCAAAACACAGATGTAACGGTGGTACCTGCTATCAGYACAMTTCACAATTGAAGTACATGGCTTACTTGAAATTATTCATTCATCACATAAGTAATCAAGGCGTTTACTAGGACAACCCTCGTCTCAACAACTCAAGAATTCTACTATCTTCGCTATTCTATATTGGCTTCAATAGATTCTAGTTAGCAGTCCCAGGGGTACGCWGCTTGACGCACAGTGTTGCTCTTGATCTATATTGTTTCTGTAGTCTATATTTTCCTGCTAACGGCCGACAAGCTGACAGCTGCTTCGAATGGCACAACAAAACAAATAGTTGGAGAGTTGGGGAGAACAATAGCGCAAGTCGTCATAATCGAGTTATTGTTCAACCGGTGAGTCTCGGTGTTAATAAATTCACGATACAATACATGTTGTTATTAGGCAGGGGTTACTTACGAGAAACTGTCTTGACATTTTTCAAGAGCCCAAAAGCACAAAAGACTCKAACCGTGCTAAGGGCCTCATTCGTCCCGTAGTTCATCGCTAGACACTGATATCGCCAGCAACTTTGATTTGCTGCTGGAGTCTCATCCAAAACAGCTATCTGGCCAATTAACGCCAAGCTAAGTCAAAGGTTTTTTGTCGGAGTCCAAGAGGTGAGGGGCATTAATAATTCCTTTGGTTAATAGTCAAGCAGAGCGCGCGTTACAAAGAGTGAGATACTACACCTGCAGTCGTGTAGGTAATTACTACAGACACACACATTCATACAGTCTTGTTGCTGTTGCAGGCGAAGCAAGGCAGTTCGTCCAACTMATTTGACAAGTCATCAGCTGACATCATGGAGGCACGAGTGAGTCATACTGTGGATAACTTTGGACTACAACATCAAGTTGAACAGCATCACCCTGAATTGGGATCATCACTGGAAAGTACTAAACCACAATCTAGCACCAATCAGGAGAGATCGACTGACGATGATCTTAAGCAGGAGGGCTATAAGGATGACTATCAAACGGACGGTGGCTGTGGAGAAGGCAAAAAAGCCCGCACACAGCGCAAGTCGCGACGCAGACCACCGTATTCCTATATCGCATTAATAGCTATGGCTATACAGAACGCACCTGAGAAACGTCTGACGCTGGACGGAATTTGTAAATTCATACGCGATAGATTTCCATTTTACAGAGAGACTTATCCTTCATGGAAAATCTGCATCCGCAACAATTTGTCACTAAACGACTGCTTTATTAAGACGGGAATCAAGTCAGACGAGCCTTTGAAAGGGAACTATTGGGCTTTGGATCCTGAGAGCTACAGCATGTTCGAAAACGGGAGTTTTCTGAGACGGAAAACACGGTTTAAAAGACAGGAACGAAATGGCTCAGATGCTAAAGCTATCACAAGTGAAGGCAATAGGGCTTTTAATTCGTTAGATTTGCACTCAATGTATCTCAGCAGTCCACTSATGCCACCATCGTATTCATTCAGTCCCATGGAGGCTCCAAAGCTATCTGCTCTACCGCCGTATTTACCACTACATTACTATAGTACTCCCAGCAGTGTTGCTAACTCTGAAGCCTTATTCATGCATTCAACACATATGCCTCTACTTCCTTCGTACTACCAGCATCTCAACTGCCAACAATGCACATACTGCGAGAACTCTAAACATCTCAACCCTTACGTCCGAATTTAGAGGACTATAACACAACACTGCACTGGACAATCTAAAGCCTCTAATGGACTTATTAATTAGCAAATGTAAAAAAATGAAATTCTAGTTATTTATAGTTGCCGTTTTCATGTATTATAAAGCACGTATAGGCACCAAAGGTTATCATTTTAGAAGATCTGTAATTTCTCCGAGTGTGCTTCATTAAGCGAACAATTCGTTAGATAAGATAGTTACTTTCTTGATACTTTAAACATAAACAAAAGTGTGTTCTCAGGAAGACGCTAACAAAGTCAAATCGTCCCACAAATATAAACAAGGATAACGAAGAGAGCAATTTAGCAAGAACTGAAAAGAGGCAGGCTTTTGTATCCAAGGAAGCCACAACACCATGGGGTCCTGGATTACTGCTTCAAATGAACAATTTGGATTCACTTAAAAGACAATTATTTCTCAACTTATAAAGATAGAGAAAATTGTTGTACAGTTTAATACGGTATAAAAAACTTTACAAATATGTACAAGAAATATGGAAAATTGTCATTGAACTACCTTGTCATGTTAACCGCTCTATTTTGATCATTCGTCGTGGATCTATTCAAACTAGGTTAATAAACAAGCAGGGTTGTAACTAGATAGCAATAAAGTAGAGGATGTTATGAATAGCTATGAGTAGGCAATTTCTTTGAGTCTYAGTCGGAAATGAACGTTTCTTGTCTCAATAGATGTGTTATTATTTCAAACGCAGCGGCCAACGGAACATGGTAATCCGGTCATTTTTATCGTGTGTAGGTCCTTTTGGATTCCCAACAGATATCTCAAGAGAAAAATAACAAACGAGCAGACGATAAAACAAGAAAGCAGCAAAATAAAAGACGCCCTCTTAAACCTGTTTATTCACTCAATAAATTGCACTTCAGAACTAACAAGAAACAAAAGAACATTTGATGAACGGAACAAAAATCGCTGAGGGCGGAATTCTCGAGCGCACTTAAACTTCTTCAGAATGGTAATTAATTATTTCGAGGAATGAATTTTCCCAACAGTTGGAGTCCGCGCTAGAAAATACGAAAAATGCCAGCCAGCTAGGTTTGTTATGTTTTTCAGAGACATAGCATGAAGGGAGGCCTTTATGGTATACCGCGTTGAATTTTCAAATTCTTGGGTTGTTTAACACTAAGACAGAGTAAGGGATATCTTTGTTCTATTATATCAAACAGCGGAATAATATCTAGGAAGCAGCATGGGGTTTAGTGACTTGCTGSGTTCGTTAGAGCCACCCCGTGACAAAAAACTATGGAATGAGACCCCCATTGTAGCGTTTATTGGATGGAAAACCTTCGCTATACGTAACATCGCTCTTAAGTCCACTAACACAGGAGCGAATTAGGATAGTTACTCTAGTATAATATCATACAATGTTGATTTGCTCAAGCTGTTAATATTGGGAGTCTTTGGCAGCGATCAAAGCCAAACAATTACTCCATATATACAAAACTAGTAAACATACGCTGACCCACTTATTTCACGCACCAGAAATTCCCTTACAATTGCGGTTTTKACTTTGATGTGGGCGATACGAACTATTGGGTAATATTTATTCTTTGAAGTATTTGTTTATATATTCAATCAAGTCTATATTTAGGGAAAAATTTGAATTGGAATGATTAAAATCACTCGTCTGGTGCACTCAATGAAGCGCTGATCAATCGACCTGGAGAACAGTTCATTCAGGGTTATGAGTGAAGTTCAATCATATACTTAATGACTGTATGTCTAATGTTGTGATTTAAGTGATCGCGATTATAAACACATCAAAACACGATAATTTRGACTACTTTTTGATTCCAAAAAGCCATTTTCCATGACAAGACCTGAAAGCACTCCCATTATTCTACATTTTCTGAGATATTTATAGAACTCAATCAAGGAACAAGAATCAAGCAAGTTCTTAAAGGATTTCCATTTGGTTGTCCTGATTGTCGACGAAGACAATACARCTTTTTTGGAAGCAAACTACAATTCTAAAGACATTTCTTTTAATCTTTTAGTTRAATATACAAAAATAGTAGTTTGATGGGTTGACCAGCCCACCATAGAAATATGACAATTTATAAAAAAKACCAGTGCCAAATAATGGTTTCAACCCACTGATTTTCAACAATTATCCAATTTTGTAAATTCTGTAGGAGCCATTAACTATATTGGACTATTCCTTTGTATGTATAGGATGGTGGCGKTCTTTCAAATCCCTTGAACCACCCACCCCCTAATTATCTATTGTTTCAGCCAAAGCAAAAGGCTGGCCGTTTCAAGAGCTGGATTACTGACAATCACTTGCTCCACTCTAGGCCGTCAGCCAATTGTRMCCTGGACTTTCTTAAAATAKAAACCCTTTTACCCTAGATCTGTTTTGAAAACGACAAAGTACGTTTTTGTAAGAAAGCGTGTTATGGACGAGAATGATAATTAATTTTTSTTTCAAAGAAATTCTCTATTCACCTAACTTATTATCACACGAACTGCCGCCAAAGAGAATTCCAAGTTACCTTCACCTGTATTGAAAGTTTTGKTGGATTAAAAAGAGGATCTTTTATTGTTGTTGGACCACCTGATGCACTRGGTTAGTCAATAGACAATTCCTTTTACAATACTTGTGTGGTTTTTGGCCAGGAAAGCACCTGGAATAACCTTTCAGCCATTACAAGTGAATAACAAGGTCCGTATACAAAACATTCTAAGCCCACTGTCTCAATAGAAAATGTATTTTCAATTACAGTACAAAAAAAGAGACTCCAAACACAAGTTATTCAGGTCAAATTAGTGATGTGATGTAAGTAACACAGTTTTTCTAACACGCCGGAGAAAAACACCGTCCTGGCTTCATGCGGTTATYAAACAGTTTCAAAACCAAAGTCATCAAATTCAAGCGGCTTTGAAACAGATACTATCATGATCATATWGAAAACAGACTGCGTAATCGCTGTGGTTGTCATTGAGGTGTTTTTGTGGCTATAATGTCGGTAATTATAGGTGTGTGGCAGTAGAGAACAAACAGTTGGATTAACAACAAAGAGGAGTAAACGATTTTCACATATAATTCATTTGAGTACAATCTTGTCTTGTACTATAAATCTTAAGCTCTCTAAATTGCCATAAAGATGTCTAAAGCTTTTGAACATATTTGATCTGATATAGTGCCTTTGATATAAAGTATTCCATAACAGCGCTTGTATATATATCAAGTTTATTTTGGAATCTTATTAGTGTCTGTGTGTTAAATAGTAAAGCATTTTAACTCAGAGACAATATAATCATGTACATAAATGACTTTTCCTGATAYACAACTTTTCATTTATCAACCGAAACCGAATTTTAAATGATTTACAAAGTAGAGATTGTATACAGCTTTACAGACGTATGTTAAAAGAAAACAATTCCCACGTGCAAATACACGTGCCCYTGCAGTTATTTCATGCATTTTTCAACAATTCGACTGGAGTTTTCTTAATTTACGACGAGAAATAATCACCCAATGTACATAATCAATATTAAGAAGCTTTTAAAAATGTCTGGTTAGAAATTTTCTCCATTAAATTTTCACGTCACAATAGTTACGAGTAAATATTTTGATTCTCTTCATTTGAACAAGAAGTACCAGCGATTTAACGTTTTATTGAAAAACAATTAATTTTGTGACAACTTTTGGTCAACAAACTCGTTTTTMAATAAAAAYTTTTTAAGTTGAATATAGTTTTACAACATATTAAGAAATAGCATGATAACTGACTCTAAATGTGACTTACCAGCAAAATCTGGCCAGTTTTGTCCGTTTTTCACCATGTGATAGAACGTTTTTTTAATGAAGAAACAATTATTACCAAATTCAAATAACAATAAATGTTGACAAAAATCTTTTTAAGTATTTAAGAACACAAATATCTTAGTTTATTGGAGCGATGAGTGTTTGGGGTTTCTGATATTTGTTATATTTTTTYAAGCCAGGAAATCGATGGAATGTAGTTGTTTATATTATAAGTACTTGCTGATGCAAATATATTAATAAGGATTCTCTTTAAAAGAGTTACTTAAGAGACCAGTTTTCTTAAGAAAATAGTTTCTATCGGATCCGCCCACTGCCTGGTTCACACTTGTACTCAGCAGGTTAAAACGGTCAAGTCGACAAAGAAACAAAATACTTAACAATATCATAAATTTATAATNCCCCTTTGACTTTAAAAGAACGAGAAAATTCCTATGGAAGACTGCCACCGCGGTCCGCGGTGTCGCAGTGCTCGCTATGACTTCTGGGTATTATTCCCATTAGACTTTAAAAGAACGAGAAAATTCCTATGGAAGACTGCCACCGCGGTCCGCGGTGTCGCAGTGCTCGCTATGACTTCTGGGTATTATTCCCATTAGACTTTAAAAGAACGAGAAAATTCCTATGGAAGACTGCCACCGCGGTCCGCGGTGCCGCAGTGCTCGCTATGACTTTTGGGTAATATTTCCCCTTAGACTTTTAAAGAACGAGAAAATTCCTATGAAAGACTGCCACCGCGGTCCGCGGTGCCGCAGTGCTCGCTATAACTTCTGGGTATTATTCCCCTTAGACTTTAAAAGAACGAGAAAATTCCTGTGAAAGACTGTGGCACCGCGGTCCGCGGTGCCGCAGTGCTCGCTATGACTTCTGGGTATTATTCCCCTTAGACTTTTAAAGAACAAGAAAATTCCTGTGAAAGACTGTGGCACCGCGGTCCGTGGTGCCGCAGTGCTTGCTATGACTTTTGGGTAATATTTCCCCTAGACTTTTACAGAACGAGAAAATTGCTATTATTAAACTGCTACATTGGTATGTAACAAAGCATTTTAATAAAATTTTTGTGCTTAGTCAAATAATAACATGCACAACATGAATGGAGATAGACATTATATTGAAAAGCCTATTTACAATGGTTCATAAAATTGAAAGAAGGAAGAGAATTAAAAATGATGAGATTCGTGTAGAGTTATGCAAGAAATGTAATGATTGTCTGAGTTATCATTATAGTAGGCGTGCTAGTGAAGGCAAATTTTAGCATTCCTTTATAAAAACAGTACTTAAATGTAATTTTTTGAATTCATGTAGTCTCTCATTGCTTGAGTGATGTCCTTGTGTAGTGGCTTGCGCAGTGCCTCTTGAAATTGATCTTCATCGACAGAGGATGTTGAAGGCCATGATGATGGTTTCTCTTTAATGAATACCTTGCATATCGTTGTAGCCCTTGGAACTCTGAAGGAGATTTGTCTTCCAAAACCGTCTTCTTGAAGGGACTGAACTGCCTTGTTGTACTCAGGCTCAGCAATAGAGCGAGCAGGCACTACGTGACCGCGGACCGCGGTGGCAGTTGATTTTTAAAACTGAGAGGTTAACTTAAAATGGGTTTCCTGTGGTATATATTTGGACCAGAAATCATTGCAGGCACTACGTGACCGCGGACCGCGGTGGCAGTGAATTTTGATAATTATAAAATGACAGGGTATTCTAAAGCTTAGCCCTGAGAAGAATACCGCGCGATCGGCGATAAATTTCGATGTCTCTCTCCTCTCTGAACTAATAATCTTATGTTTTTATCAATNCTGGTTTGCTCTACTTTGATAAGATGAAAAGTATAAAAACAAATGT